CTCGCGCGCCTGCAGCAGCGCCTGCTCAACCGACGAAGGAACTGTTGCCCCCTCGAAGGAGCAAGCGTACTGCAGGGCAGTGAACGCGGCCTCCTCACGGAGGCGCTCCGGGGAAGACCGGCCGGACGGTTGTGGAACTGGAGGAGGCGGCATCGGAACGGGACGATGATCGCCTTCGGTACCGGTCACCACGCTGATGTGTGGGGGGCTTGAGGTGGGGGCCGAAATTCCCACGACACCGGGGGGTTCTCTTAACCCCTTCGGCGAGTCGCTCTGGATCGAGGCCACGCGAGCGGACCCGCCGCGGGCCGGTACCGCGGTCTCGACGACGCTCCTCACCGCACCGGTTCCCGCATCGCGCGGCGGCGCGATATCGGCATCGGCAAGCAAGCCGCCCGTGTCACCCGCGTCGACCGTGTCGACTGCGCCGTCCACGTCGACCGCGACGGTCGCGTCCGCTGGACCGGGGGCCGCGCTGCCACCATCGGCACCGGTCTCTGCCTCGGCTCCGGCGGGCATCGGTAGGGTACACCGCTGGTTCCAGCTGAACCACGCGAAGTCCGGCCGGCCGCTCCAATCCATACCCTTGGTGAAGGCCAACAGCTGTGTCGCGTACGCCGCGTCAAACGCCGTACCCTCGAGGATCTCCGCGATACCGACCGAGCGGATTAAATCGATGAGCCCCGCCGAGAGGCGGAAGAGCAGGCCGCGCTCACCGAACGGTTCCTCGCGCCGCGCGAACAGCCGCGGGTCGGGACACTTCGTGAAGAACGGCAGTCCCTCGCGAGCGGCGTGCAAGAAGCACAGGAAGGCCAAGACCGCCCATTCGGAAAGCATGATCGCGTGCACCAAGACGCGCGTTCGCTCCGTTTCCGCGGATTCCGATCGGCCGAGCGGCAACCAATGCGCCGCCACGTACGCCATGACGCTCGGCGTCGGTACGCACAGGTACTCCGGCGCCTCGAACGTCGACCAGTTCGGCGGGAGCGCGGGGTACAGGCCACGCCGCGCGGGGCTGGGCACCGAGAAAAACTCGGTGCTGTGGCACATGTGGAAGAAATCGTCCACCCGGCGCCAGCGCAGCAGACTCTCGCGCGCTGCGTCCTCACCCCACCGCGCTCGGTTCGCAACGCTGTACCAGCTGTCAAAAGGCCGCGGAAAGGCCACCAAGCGGACGTCGGGCGCGAGGCCCTCGTAGCGGCGATACCGACCAAAGAGGTTCAGCAGCGAGATGTGGTACTTTTCCTCGCCCTCGCAGCGGACGTAGAGCAAGTCACTGCCCGCCGCGGCCGGCGTCCGACACGGAGCGTGACGCCACCGCGCCTTCCACGCGCCGGCGCGGTTCTCTTGCGCCACGGCACCGCGTCCGGACGGAGTCTTGATCGCGCGCACCATCGGAATGGCCGCGAACCTCGCCGCGTCCAGCAAGTTCCGCTGAACGTACTCCTCGACCGTAAGCGGAGGCTTGCGACCCGCAGCGCGTCGGCGTGCGCGCCGGCGGCGGTGGTCCATCGAGGACCCGGGCCACAGCGACCGTACGGAACCAACGCCGCTGCGCAGCCAGCCCGGGGTACTCGGGGCGGTGAATACCCGCCCCAGCGACGTTGTCGCTCCCCGTCCGGCCGGCGCAAGCGCTACGCTACTCGACGGCGCCGGCGCCGCGTACGGCGCCTCGGAAGCGGCCCTTGTGAGCGCCGTACCCGCAGCGGGCAGCGGCGACATGGGAGGCGGCGGCAGCTCCACGGGGAGCTCCGGGTCCGCCTCGACCATTCTTGGAGCCACGCCCACGAGGGGCAGCGGCGGGGACTGTGTTGCTTGGGCGCCTGGCGGTGGCGGAGCGACCGGTACGGGCGAATCAATTGGCGCTTGCGCGGGCCCCGCCACTCCAGGGGGCGGGTGCAGGCCGTCGCGAAGGCGTCGCCGCGGTTGGAAGGTGGGACCGACCGGCGTCGCTGCCGGAGCCCGAGGCGGGCTCAACGGCTGCCTGTACGCGCGCACAGCCGGCGTGTCGCAATGACCGTCCATCGGTTGGTTGAAGAGCTGCTGTAGGGGAATGTCGTCGTCGCTGTCGGAGGAGGTTTCGGAGTTCGCAGGGGAGTGCTGGGGAAGAGTTGGGGGGTCAGTATGGATCGCGTGGGGAGAATCGGAAGACGCGCTCTCCGAATCGGTCGAACTCGCGGCGTTATATACCGCCAGCTCGCTGACGAGCCAGGGGGCATGATCGTCCACACGGAGGGGCTTCTGTTCCCGCATCGTGCGCGATAGAAGGAAACGTCCGGAACGGACCCGCGCGCTCGAGTAGAGGGTCGCTACGGGGACGTAGCGAAAGCTAAGGGGGGAGGTCTGTAGTATAGTGACCGGAGCGAGCGCGCGGAGGTCATCGGACGGCCGTATACGGTATACACGTGGGCGGCTGTGCCCACGTGTAGCGAGCGCGCGCGCATGCCGAGCGGTCGTAATCTGGCGCACGTGTACAGTAGTGCACGTGTCGTCCGAGCGGTAGTCTACGCGTGTTACGTGTGTGCGTTAGCACACGTGTCGTCCGTGCGGTAGTCTGTAAGCAACACGCGTGTACAGTAGTGCACACGTGTAGTAGCAGCGTCCGTGCGGTAGTAGCAATTATGGCGCTAGTTTTTTAATTGTGTACAGTACCCGGCACGCACTAGGCGGCAGGTGCTGTACTACTGTACTGGGACAGGTGTCCGAGACGTCCCTCTGGGGGGTTAAGACCTGGCACCCGTCCCCACCAGTAAACGGGGGCAAGCTCGCCCCCGTCCCTTTTGCACCTACGTACGTCCGTTTTCGGTTGTCTGTCGCGCGCGCTGGCTTCTAACCCGTTACCGGTCGCTCCCGTTCACGCACCACGGGGCGACTGCGCATAACCGGCCAGTGAGCCACTCCCTTTTCGCGAGCTCGTCCGATCGGTTCAATTGGCGCGTCGCGTCCGCGCCGCGTGCTCCCTCGCTAAAGCCTCCGCCTCTCACCCAACCCAGGGCGGAGAGGAATTATCCCACAACACTCTCAAAACGCGCCTGGGTTTAAACAAAATTACCATTTACTACTGTGGTCCTCAGAAATTACTCAACATCATGTTGAGTAATTTCATGTCATGATGACTCTTCGACGGGACTTCTAAAGAACTGTCAACGGAGGACCGACGAGTCCTCCATGTAGGGCAAGGGTGCTGGGATAGCGGTTGTAGATACTGACTGCACTGAGGGTTGCGGCGCAGCATCAGATCAGATATCGATAAAACGGATTGTACCGCACTTTCGAGCCAAAACTAAAACTTGGATTGAATCCGCCATGCGGAGCCCATGAAGACCCATGTACACCAATGCCTGCATGAGCCCGCATTGAACATATCTGAATTGGTTTGGCCACCATTGCCCCATGCAGACATAGACTGGTGCATGGACGGTTCCATGGAACATGTTTGGTATTGCATAGGACCAGGCCTAAGCAAATCCCCATGCAAAAGTTATGATAACCGCTCCAATTGTGAGCATGGGCTTGCATGGTCTCTGCATAGGAAATTTTAGAAAATCAGAAATACAGACGTGCACTCGTGGTCCTATTCATGGACGTCAGCATGTCTTCCATGATCTCCTTCATTCCGGCTACGGCGCGAAGCACACGGGCCTCTGTTTCCTCAGGCCCGAGTCCGGGGCCCTGACTATAGCCGGCTCCCTCCCCGCTCCCGCGTCGGGGTTGGGACCTCAGGGACTGCGGGGCCTCAACACCGGCGCTGTGGGACTGTGGGGTCTCATACGTGAGCCCAGCCGGACGACTCTCCGTTGCATTGGTCACAGGACTGATTTCGCCCACTTGGTCTCCTTCCCTGCGATTCGAGCGGACTGCAGTGTTAAGTTCCGCACCTTCCTCGTCCCGGTCCTGACGATTGCGCGTCATGATGAGAAAAAACGCCCCTTGTTCCTAGCCTCTGCCAATCCAGGCAGACCGATCGCAAAGCTCCGCGATCTTACAAGCTTGTAATGTTGCGGCAATTCCTCCGCGAGATACTGAGCAACCTATGCCAACGAGAATCCACTCGTCTTCGTCTTTATTCTTCACAAGTCTGCTGCCTTCCCCTTCCCTATCTGCTCCAGGGACGGCTCTTCAGTAATCTATGCCCGGGGGCTGTCCTCTCTTTCCCCGACCTCTCCTGGCGCCCCCTTTCCCTTCAGCTTCCCTCTGCCCCAGTCCTGGCGCCCTCCTCCTGCTCCTTTCCTTTCACCCACACGGCCGGTGGCCTCCCCCGTCTTCTTGTCCCGGTCCAAGTTCCCTCGCAGCCACGGGTTTCCCTTCATTCTCCCTCTGTCTATCGCCGACAGTTCCCCACGCGCATGATCCCGCCACTTCTACTGCCTTTCGGTTAGTACGCCTCGGTTCCGGCCGTGTCCGCTTTGATTCGCCTTACGCGTGTCCACCTTGCCACCTGGCACCTGGGTTCATCCGTAACAGTATACTACTGTATAGGGATCTCAGCACCTTATGTGGGCTTTTTCCCAAATTCAAAACCGCATAAACATCCAGGCCATCAAACATATTGCAAGTACCTCTACGCAGAATATCGAAGAGAAGTGTGCAGGACAAGCGCTGTGTCCCTCATCCCTGGCTAGATGGGAGAAGAATGATTTGTAGATATCATGTCTTGGGTCTCACGGATAGATAAAGCGGAGCATGGACTGAACTGCTCATTCTCCATGCCATACCACAACACTCACCGTCGAGCTTCTATACCCAGCTTGTGCCATTGAGTATATATACAAACAGAAAGGCTCTAAACCGAGTCCTGGGCGTAAGTTCACTGCGGTAGCGTTATCAATCTTACGATGATGAGAGGAACTTCGAGTCGTTTGGTTCTAGCGCTGTTGACATGCATCATCCTGCAACGCTCTTTCTCCTTCACCATATTAGACGAGGAGACTCAAAGCGGGGGAAGTTATTCTGAGGACGACGCCCCCGGCTCATGGATATTCGACGCAACAAGCGACTGGATGTCACAGCTACCGGATGACACACCCTTGCACAAAGTCTCAATTCCAGGGACTCATGACACCGGTGCTTTGCACGGCGGAAGGATATGTGAAACTCAAAGGTGGACAGTCGCAGAACAGCTGCGCGCAGGCATAAGATTCTTGGACATTCGCTGCCGCAGAGACGGCACTTCCTTCGCGATACACCACGGTTTCTGTTTTCAGAAGATGTATTTTGAAGACGTGCTTCGAGACGTGTCCATGTTTCTAGCCTCATCCCCCGGGGAAACCATTTTGATGCGCGTCAAGGAAGAGTACATTCCAAGAGCAGGAAGCAGCTCATTGCAAGCAATTTGGGATTCATACATGGATGAATTCGGAACGCTCTTCGAGCAAAGCGCTCTTGCCGGGATCCCCACCCTCGGCAGCGTTAGGGGTTAGGTAGTCGTCCTCCGCGATGCGGCATTTGACAACATCGGTCTCCCTTACTCGGGACCGCACACGGACATCCAAGATGAGTTCATGGTTTACCGCAACAGACGGGACCACCCGTATGGGCCTGACACGGTTTCCCTCGGCCAGAAGAAGGCGTTCATTCCGGCATTCCTTACTAGCGCAGAAACTTCGTCCCAAATTACGCTCAACTACCTGTCAGGCACTCGTGGTATTTTGCCTGACCGGGTAGCGATGGAAACCAACCCGTTCGCATACAGCACAATTGGGTCGCTTTCAGCGCGCAAGATGTTGGGCGTGGTGATCATGGACTTCGCCGGTGAAAAGCTGTGCTACCGAATCGTGAAGAGCAATTTCATAAAAGGGAGCGTGGAGGCGGGGACGAAATGCGGCGGACGAAAATGGCGAGCGGTTCAGGGAAAGTCGTTTGTAGAATTCTCGGTGCCTCCGGCGGCGGCGGGGACGGTGTATACAATCACGAGCGGGGCGTACGCGCGGTTTGTATTCCCCAGGTGCTGGAGGGTGAAGTGGAGCGATATGAGGTTATCGTGCGAGGCGACGGGAGTGTGGGCGGCGCAAGGGACGGTGTCGGGGGACCGGTGGTGCAAAAGTTACAGACAGACGCAAGAGTATGTATCGGTTGGGAGTGCGTAGAGAGAGTTTCGGTGCAGAGTTGATAAGCACAGGGCAGGGGAGTGGTTGTACTCTACTTACTGTACATAAATTTCCGTACTGTACATAAATTTCCAATAGTGCAATAGTGCAACTTGGAGTAGTGCCTCCCTCGATATAGTGCTATAGCTAGAGCTCTGTCAGGGGTTATCATACTGGTTGCACGTATACACGTATATTTGTTTTAAAGCAATCAATGATATGTCTTTCTAACATTCCCAATTTGTAGGAAAAATGTGGCTTCTGTATAGTGCCACGCACGCAATAGTGCCAGATGTCGAGGTCTGTTCTGGTATGGCACTATATCGTGGGACCCCCTGTACTTTGGAATGTTACGATACTGTAAGGAATGGGTGGAATCGTGGAAGAAATTTCTACGGTGTCAAGTGCGGGAGGCGCATTATATTGGCCCATTGGTAGACCGTGCGTCTCCCCGTAAAAGGAAACAGTGCCGACTGGAGGAGGCGGTGTCGGAAACAGGAGCGCTGTGTGTATGGTGCTAAGCCTCGATAAGCGCGTACAGTACATTACACAGTGCCACACAGAGTGTATTTAGTGTGGCGTCTGTCTGTGGAGGCGACAAGAGCACGAGACTCGCGAGGAGCAAGCTGAGAGCAGCAAGCTGATCTCAGCTCTCAAGAGCAGCAAGCTAGGACAGAGTCAGGGAGTGTGGAAAAGGAGCAGCAGCTGAGTGCGTGTGTGCTCCACTCGGGCCCCGCACTTTTCGTCGCGCAAAGCTGTTTGCGAGCCTGTCCGTGTTCTGCCGGGGCGCTGCTCACGCGGGACCTCGCCTTCCAGTCATACCTTGCAGTCATGGCGGGTGACAGATTCAAGTACGGTACGACACAGTCTACAGTATGTACCAAGGGTACTGTAGCAGGCATGGCGGAGGGAAGGTGGGCGGCCCGCGTTCCCGGGGTTGCGCTTGAAAAAAAAAAGGAAAAACACACTAAACGAGGGCTTCGTTGGTTTGCGGACTGGGCGGCACGAGCGTGAGATGTGCCTCTTTGATCTGGGGGCGGTGAGCGCGTCGCGTCGCGCGTGAGACCCGCGGGTGGGTGTGACAGTGGGTCTACTTGTACCTCAATCAGATGTGCGGATGCCACCTTGCGGGACGCCTCAGGAAGGCAGTTCTGCCACGGAATTTGAGCAAAAGAAAAAAGGCGGGGAGGAGGCGTTGCGGCGAGCGCTTGCGGCGGCTACAGTGGGTGCGCGGGGAACGCACCTAGACTGGCCTGAGGGGCGCCGTGGTGCATGGGAGACGTCGTGGGTTGTTGCTCGTCGCGTCTGTCCGCCTGCCGCGACAATTAATCTTCCACGCCTTGTTCTATGTTCAAGGCGGAGGGGTGCGTGTGCGCGGGCGGCGTGCAGACTAATTTAGATACCCTGCTCGAGAAAGCGGC